CCCCCGCGCGCTCGCTCAGCCACTGATCTATAAAAACAACTGTAGTGTTGCTGTTTTTTAGTACGTTATTTGCGCTTGGGTACGAGGCTGGTGATTTACTGTAATTTGTTCTGTTTTTCTGTAGCGATTACCGATTTATCGGCAAATACCGCGATAAAACCAGTGGATAAAACTTAGTTTTCTCTACTTTTTAAATATGATAATTTGTAGCAAAGGGAAATAATACATTTTTCGTTAGTTTCATTGCATAAAAGGTACGAAATTTAAATTTTATCGCAGTATTTGCCGATAAATTGGTAATCGCTACAGAAAAACAGAACAAATTACAGTAAATCACAACAAACTACAGAAGCGGAAGTGGGACACTTTTAGTTGAAATACTTATCAACCCTTTATTTTGTTAATCTTTAATAGAGCTTGAAATGTTCCCTGTAACAATACGAGACTGCCAGTCTTCCAAATCTCATATCAACAGAAATCAACTCTTATATCCTCGTTCGACCGGGGTTTCGTCAAAAGCCTTTAATTTGAGACAATAAAGAATAAACTTGTCATTTCAAGTGTCATTATGATGCTTTTCACATAAGAAGAATAAATTATGAAGCCAGAGTAGTCAACGAGAATTTTGCAAATGACTTTGCCGTTGACTCGCTGAAACATAATTATGAAGTTTTGATGAACCGGCTTCCTAAACCTCTATGAGTATGGCTGATCATCGGCGACAAACCTCTGGCAAATTAGAAATTTCATTCATGATCATGTTGCAAGGCAATAAGAACAAAATGGAATAATAATTTAAATTAATATGTAAAACTGTAATTTAAAATAAATCTTTTGACTGAAGAAAATGAGAAATATAGCTATTTTTACGAAGATTCGTTGACTAGCGTTGCGCTGACTTTCTCGAAGTCGCTCGTAAAGTTCAAGTGTCCCCACTTTTGAGTGTTTACACGTTTTTCATTTTAAATTGTAGTTGTCACCCTGGACTGTAGGTGCAGCTGTAGCTGGTGGTGTTGGTGCACTTGCTGCAACCCCTGTTGTCTTGACTGCAGCTGGTTTTACTACGGCTGGCATAGCAGCAGCTTCGGTTGGATCAGCCATGATGTCTGCATCTGCAACTGCTAGTGGTCCAGTTGGAGTTGTTGCTGGTGGTCTTGTAGCTACTCTTCAATCAGCTGGTGCAGCAGGATTGGGCTGGGCAGGATCTGCTGCTGTAGGAACTACTGGAGCTGTGGCTGGAGCCGCCTGTCGCAAAGTAATGGAATATGTTATATAAACTAAACATTGCCATTGAAACTGATGATATTAGTTATTGATAAAAAGAAATCTTGAAAATTTTATATGTTAACGTTGTCGTTGTCGCTTTTCTGGAGGTTTTCATATTTTAAAAACATTTGTAACTGTTCTGATTCGTTTATGAAAATGTGATTTATTTTTGTGTGAGTAGAATAGAGTTGGAAAATATTGGAATATGAAATGAATAGGATAATTAGCATGGTGTGCAGTATATAGACAAACAAATAAAAATGTTATTGAGAGTTGTACACATACGTACAAGCCGAATAGAATAATCCAAAGAAAACGAAAATGCATGGACTAGAATGAAATAATGAACTAATAGCCAATTATATTTACTACTTTTTTGTGTTATTAATGACCAAGAATAAGGCTTAATATTTTTTATTGAAAACGTTTCGGAGTTTACTCCATCGTCAGGTTAAAAGACTATACAATAGTGAGCTTAATTATTAAACAAGCGATGTTTTTGTCAACACGGATTCCGACGGACGTCGTCACCTGCGAAAATTGGTAGGACTAATTTTGGTGGCATTTTGCATCATAGCGCTTGTGCTCGATTTCGAGAGGGCCTGCGGAATCTTGTAAAATGAATAAATGTTGTTTTGAACCTGCAACGTTTTATTCGTGCAACGTTGGTGTGGACAACAAACCTTATCGTTAAAAAATGCTTCCTTCCACGTCCTAAGAGTCGCCAGTTTAATTTATAAATTTCACACCGCTTTTTTATATCTGTTTATATTCAAGATTATGTAGAAATTTACTTGCTGACGTGACGCCGGCGCCATTTTTTTTACAAGATTCCGCAGGCCCTCGCCAGATCGTGACCTTCCCATGACGCAACGAGG